GTTAATTTTTTTTTTTTTTAATTTTTTCTTACAAAACATAATGTACATTAATTTTACATTAGCCTAAGGAATAAATGCTATCGGAGGCTTTTTTTTGTTCCCTCCAGTGGCTTGTTAACAATTTTTTTTTACGGAATTTTCATCCCATGAAGCGAAAAAAGGTCCTTCTTACAGCATAGTATGGTGAAAAAATATTATCACACTGGAATTTATGAATAAATCTTATGTAGGTACACGTACGCCGTCTTCTTTAAATTCCGACTCGCCGTCGTGCTCTGCAAGAAAAAAAAAAAAAAAACCGAACAGGCTTGACGAGTTTAGCGTGGAAACAAGAGTCAGCGATATATATATTCCAAGTCGATGCTGAATTGCTTTTCAGACAGCAAAATACTTATGCCAGTTGGAGTTTCTTCTTCATTCTTTTTTTTCATATTTTGTTTTTGCTAAAAAACAAAAAATTTTCAAAAGTACATGCAGAATTGTGATAATCGTAGCCATGAAAAAAAATCTGTGGATGTACAATTTAATTTCATATAAAATTTCTACAAAACTGTTTTTCGATGCTGTCAACTAAAACGATAAAAAAAAATTCATTTTTTACTATGAACTACTATTAATGAATTCTATAGTACAGAAAGCGATTTGATTATTTTCGTAGGACAAAGCGAATGTATAACAGTTTAACGCTCAAAGCAAAAAAAGACCTTGTGTTATGAAAGATAGTCTGCATTATATTTTTTAAATTCGAATGAGTATCTTATCCACTTCGTTTTAACGATGAATAATAATTTGTTCGTTAAAATACTTAAAAATTAAAAATTTCACACTTACAGTCGTAATGATCATATAGTTGCTCAAACCTGTAATACTTTATAATTTTTTTTTTGTTTCGTATTTTTTTTTCTTCTTATATTATAAAGTAAAATTTAATACCTAAAAATACTTTCAAGTACACTCAGTGTCAATTTATTAAAACATACGTATTATACAAGTTGAATAGTAAAACAAAAATAGTTGCAAACGACAATGAAAATAGAGACAAAAATAGTAACATTACGCGAAGTCAGTCTGAAAAAATATTTGTTTGTTGTAAAAAAATATTCGAGAAAAATTTAGTATGAGCATTATATTAAAAGTGATGGTGAACTAAAAACTTCAGCTACTATAGCGTGTTAAATTTTTGGAAAAAAGTTTTCATACTTACACTCCGTAGACGGATGTCACACAGCTGCTGTAACAAACATTTTATCATTTAGCAATATATTTTGTATCATTGATTTTAAAGTAATTACCAGAGCTCATTTTTTTGGTTTTTTATTTGAAAAATTTCAAGTTTTTTTATCAGTACATTTAAACTACACAATAATGACTTGAAATTAATCCAATGTATTTGACTCAACTACTCTAAATTTTTTTTGCCTGTATAAAATCACAGCTACTTCATGGAAGTAAAAGAGATGGACATATTTTTTTTGCTTCTTATCTATCTCAAATCACTACACACGCACCCACATGCACATGAACAAATATAAAAGATAATGTAATTCATGAAAAAAGTAACCCGAAGAAAAGAAAATGAAATGTATCGAAAAAAAAAAAAATAAATAAATAAAATAACGAGCAAAAGATGAAAAGGTGGGGCATGAGAGGGCCCCACTTTGCGTCCCAAGAGATCGGCAATCAGTTCTTTCCGCAGAGCAGAGTGGAAACAAATATATGCTCGTCAGTCGATCTTTTCGATTCGGATCGTGTGTACATATATACAACGGGCGCGAGTGTGCGATCTCGATTTTTCACGCATTTCTCGCGATTTCAAAGGTAATCAATTGCCGTGTGGGTGTTTTTGTCAATACTTTTAGGCTATTTCACGGTAGTAATATTAGTTTTTTATGCATTTGCAAAAATGCTATCAATATGTGCTGGCGTCTACTTTCTAAAGCTGTCGACTTCAACTTGACGCTCGTACATAAATGTGACGTATTATTGTGTTGAAAAATATTTATTTTTCATTTAACATCGCGCGTGGGCGTGTGAGTGCGTTTTAAAAGTTTGCGTAAAAAATTCAAGCATAATATACCTATAGGAAAGTTGACGAGTTATCAGAACTACTATAAATAATATTTGAACACCTGTTTTTTTTTTGTTTTTTTTTTTCTTTATGGTAATATTACACGTATTAGTTTGCGCACAAAGTTATCTAAAGTGTCGGCAACAGTTGGCGTGTATCGAACGTGTACATTTTATTCATACTTGTTAACACACCAATGACAAATTTTACTAATCGTTTTCCTACTCTTTTTTTTTATCAAGTACAAAGAGTTACGTAATGTCTTTCGATGGATGAGTAAAGTTTTTTTTTTTTTCTTAAACACCATTTAATCAGTAATAACCTTGATGTCTGTAGGCAAACAAATGATTAGGCGTCCGTTCATCTGGAAACTAAAACTTTTCTAGCTTCTTACGTCCACTTTTTTTACTGTGTAGCATACAACTAAGATTTATATGTCATCGAGCCCAAAATATGAAAACTCATCCCTATTTATCACCTAATTTTGATAATTGTATGTTAAATCTGCAATGAATTTGGACGAAAAACTTTTTTTTACTTGCTATTAATATTTATTGCCAAAGAAAATTAAAAAAAACATTTGATACGAAAAAACAATTTTTATTTATCATATATAAGTATGGACACTCATAGTTAACTAAAATTGTAATCAAATAATATTAAAAAAATATTTTGGTACGTGTAATATTAAAACGTGTTACTTTATAAACGTTTTTCATTAAAGCTAAGTCACTAATGTGGGCAAAAAAAATTTTTTTTTCTCGAATAAAAAATTAAAAACTGCTTTTCTGTTATAGTGTACAATAATTGTACGTTACTTTTTGAGTTTAAAAAAAACTAGAAGTGGCGTAAAATAAATAACTTGTACTTATGTTGAATGGCTCTAGTTAAGTTTTGATTTTTTAAATCTCACTTTGAGGCTATAAAAATTAGTGTAAAGAGTCGCAGCTGAGAAGTTTTTTCAAAAATATTAAANCTTTTCTGCAGTACTTTGAAAATAACTCTCGTCTGAGTTTCCTTATTTATTAAAAAATAATAAAAAAAATAAAAAAAAAGATAGTAGTTTTATCAGTATTACTATATGAACCTATTCAATATGAAAGCTGAAAAACAGTAATTATAATTATTTACGATGTTTACAAAACATCTCATCAACTTTTTGATAATGCAAGTCGAAAGGTATACACGCGTATCAAATTAAATATTTTTTTAATAACAAACAAACAGTTAACGTATTTTTACGAACATTGTTATGCACAAAGAAAGAGGAATCACGAAGAATAACGAAAAACATGCTTCAGTGTCAGCGATGATAAGATAAATGAGACACTGTCGAATCGAGCCCCCTGCACGCTTGGCCGTTGTGACGAACGGTGTTGTTATCGTGTACTCGGAAAGACAGTGCCCACATATTAAATATACATTTATTCCTGGATTGCTTGCGCATCGCAATCGTTTTGATAAGATATTATTATTATTATTATTGTTATTTAGAGAGTTTCTTGCAGCAACGTAATGATGGCAGGCATTCAAGATATTGTAGTGCCATACGTTCGATGAATTTTCAGAAAAATCGTCGCATTTTTTTGTGATGGATGTTCGGCTGAAATATTAACATACAGGTCATTGAAAATTCTGGTCATTTTTATTTGCAAGGAGACAAAAAACCGTGAAATATGTAAGAATTGTTGTGTGTTTAGATACACTCGGTGTAACCCGTTCAAGAATCGAAAAAAATTTTTTTAGATGATTATTACGAATCCAAAAATTATAGGTTGTACATAGTTTCAGTTGTTGACGATTTGATTTTCAAAACCCATGCAGTGGGTAAACCGTATTATCAAATACATTGTTTTAATACTTAAATTACAAACATATGTGGTGTTTTAAAACTTAAAAAAAATATTCAAAAACATCAAAAAAGACAGCCACCGAAACTTACTTCTGAATTACTTACCCATTAACTTGCATCTATACATAATATGTCTAGCGGGTGTTACAATTCTGACGGAGTCTCCTAAAACAAGTAATTTTTTAGCAGTTTTATAAAAACCTTTAAAAAATGATAAGGCACTTATTAGTAAGCTAAGTTTCCAACTCTACTAGTCGTTATTCTGATGGTAACGCTGAAGTGACACACCAATTACATGCAAACTACCGTTTAAGGAATCTCGAAACCTTGTTCAGTTATAAACGAAGCTAAAAATTTTCAATTTTTTACCAACATTTTTACAACCTTGTTTAGTTTTTAGAAAAACGTTTTTTAACCGATTATCCACCAAAAGTGTATAAAATCTTTTGATCTACAAATTATGTCAAAAGCGCTTCGATAACAATTTAAAAAACCTTTTTTTTTGCGACCCAGTACTATATTCATATTATATAAGGGATATTCGAAAACGAGCCGTAACTTGATTACATGTATAAAGTTTTTTCTCTACTTATTTTTAATTTACAGGCTAAACAAATCACATATTATGATCTTCAATAATTATTTTCATTTGGTAAAATTGTTCGATTTTAATTTTAAGTACGATTCAATGCAATTGATCTTTGAAAAATTCCGCCGATCCGCTTGAACCAATCACACGACGAATAAAAATGCTTGATTTAATCCTCATGCAGGTACCCCACGCTCGTTCCCGAGAGCACCATGAACTCGATACAAAAGCTCGCCCGCTTGGTGCCCCGCAGACTCTTACGTCGCGAGGTGCACGCGAGCAGTCCCCTGGCCTCCAATGTTCACCTACCCCTGAGCTTTTTGACCGAGGAGGAGCAGCTGATGAAGGATACGGTCGCCAAACTCGCCAAAGAGGAGGTCCTGCCGTTGGTGCGGAAGATGGAAAAGGAGGGCAGGATCGACCCGGGCTTGCTGGGAAAGCTCTTCGAGAATGGGCTCATGGGGCTCGAGGTGCCGGTCGAGTACGAGGGCACGGGCTGCAACTTCCTCACGACCATACTCGCCGTCGAGGAGCTCTCCAAGGTCGACGCCTCCGTCGGGGCGATGGTCGACATTCACAACACCCTCGTTAATTCGCTTGTTAAGAAGGTGAGGGCTTTCAGTGGTCTTGAGTGTGATGGGATTTTTGTTTGGACGAGGGACTCTTGAGCGAGGGTTCTTTGGGGGTGATTTTAATCAATATTGACTTTTGAAATTATTTTGAACGGAAATTCATGAATATATGTAGGAGGCTGCCCGTTGTTTCTCAAATTACTCGTATTTTTTAATTATTTACCGACCAAAACATCTTCATTGTAGCTTAAAATGAAAATTCTAATCATAAAACTAAAATTTGCACATCCCACTAGATGCATTTGATAATTCCATTTCAAAAACATAACGGTTTTTAACCATCTTAAGAAATATTTTTCAACTGTTTTCAAAAATTTACTAAATTTTTTTTTAGTTAAAATGTTTTCGAAGTTGATTCTACATTTTTCGATATCTTTTGCTATTTTTTAAAAATTGTGCATTTATTTTCTAAAATGGTTCAAAAAACAATTATTTCCTGTAACCGTTGAAAATTCCTTGTTATTTAAATGTAAAATCAAAATATCTGGTGGCATGTGCTCATTTAATTGTTTTTCAGGTTTTATTGTTAGGACTCTCAATTGTACATTATATAATGAAAAGATTTAAGTGGGTGTATAATTTAAAAATAAATTTTGGAAAGTAGTGTACGCAATCTCTGAGGAATAGAAACTACGGAACTACAAAATTTTGGTATTTTTTATCACGGTTGCAATCAGAATGGAAATTCCACGTGAGAACTGTTAATTAAAAAGAGCTGAGATAATTTGTTTTTTTGAATGAGACTATGCCTTTATAAATATTTTTTTTCTTATCTTAGAATTATAATATCAAGTCATGATATGAGTATTATAACAGATTAGACTTCCTGTCATATTTCTCGATTTACTTGTATGTGTCATTGAAGACTCGATAAAAAAAATTATTGCGGATAAGATTATCGTATTTCAAACCTCATACAGAAAAACGCGTTTTTGCCTATCCTCATCACAATATTATAGTGTAATGCAATCGTTTAAATGTGATACGTTCAAATATATTTTGTTCCGACCTCGGGCGTTTTTGAGGGTCGGGTGTGCCCTCGGTAGAAAAAATAGGATTCACCACATAAGCGCCATCGCTCCGTGGCTGCCTTACGTCTCTTCGCCGATCCCTTGGGCCGTAAAATAGCCCCAGAGACGACGGCACTTATCCGACGAAAACTACTATTATCGTAATTCTATACACTGAGCAATCCAATTCTTTGAATCAAAGAAAATTTCTTTGCCCTCATTCCGTTAAATATTTTCTTTTAATTGAAACAAATTTAGTCGATCCAAAAAAACATTTCGTACAACTAAATGAGAAATTCGTAATTAAAATTTTAATTTAGTAAAATATTATTTTTAATTAACTTATATTTTTTTACTCATAAGAAAATATTTAACGGAATGAGGGTAAAAAAATTTTCTTTGATTCAAAGAATTGGGTTGCTCAGTGTATGTGAGTGAATTATATAGGTTACAATATATACGTGTATATTCAGTGTTTGAAAATAGATATCTCTATGAAATTCATCATTAATTGTGTTCTCCTTTACATAGGTCGCCAGTGAGGAGCAGAAGAAGAAATACCTTCCAAAGTTGGCGAACGAGTACGCAGGCAGTTTTTGCCTAACGGAACCAGGAGCCGGTTCGGACGCGTTCTCCTTGAAAACGGTTGCCAAAAAAGATGGCTCGGACTACGTCATCAATGGTTCGAAGATGTGGATTTCAAATTCCGACATTGCTGGTGTCTTCCTTGTCTTCGCCAATGCGGATCCGAGCGCTGGATACAGGGGGATAACAACATTCTTCGTCGATAGGGATACGCCCGGCGTCAATGTTGCCAAACCTGAAGACAAACTCGGTTAGTTTACCTTGTTATATACGTTTTTATTGGAATTTTTTTAGTAGGTATACAGTCCTTCTTTTGTTCTCATTGGAATGAAAAAGAATTAGTACCTACAACAGCTGTTTTGATCTTCTAAACCCAGCACTTCTTGACGTTAAATTATTAATTTAATAAAACGGAATCCACCTAGTTTGTCGATGAAAAGTACTTTTTTTCTATTATGCTGAAAACAACCCACAAAAGGTTTGTGTATATCGATGCTAGTTAAATTTCTGCCATCAGCGTATTATTACTCAGCAACGGGCAGCCCATTATGGGCTTGTTTCTGCTGTTAGATGGCGGTAGTGTGCCCACGTAAGATTTTCTCAGAACTATAACCATGTATACGTACGATGTATAGAAATAGTTCTTTGAAAATCTTACATGGACATATTATCGCCATCTGATGGAAGAAACAAGCCCATTATGTTCACACAAAGTATTTGATCGATAATATAGATTCTGTTTCACAAGTAGAGTGTATTACATCTCCTTGAATTGGTAAATGTATAAACGTAATAATGTTTCGTGATTAGGCATCAAAGCATCAGGCACCTGTATGGTACACTTCGAGAACGTCCGGGTGCCGGAGAGCCACATCCTCGGCGAGTTCGGCAAAGGCTACAAATATGCGGCCGGTTTTCTCAACGAGGGTCGCGTCGGTATCGGAGCTCAGATGCTAGGCATTGCCCAGGGCGCTCTGGACGCCACGATACCCTACACCCTCGAAAGAAAGCAATTCGGCAAGAACATCTTCGAATTCCAATCGCTACAGCATCAAATCGCTCAGGTAACATGTTTTCCTTCTTTACCGACCGATAAATCGGCTAGTAGTTTTTTTCGGCATTATACATTCACTAACAATATTTATTTGTTTTCCCCAAACAGGCGGTGACCGAAGTAGAGTGCGCAAGGCTGCTGGTGTACAACGCAGCGCGACTGGTCGACGCGAAAAAAGACGTGATGAAGGAGGCCGCGATGGCTAAGTATTACGCCTCCGAGATGGCGCAGAGGGTGGCGTCTAAGTGCGTCGACTTCATGGGTGGTGTTGGCTTCACGAGCGACTATCCGCAAGAGAAGTTTTACCGTGACAGCAAAATTGGTACGATTTACGAGGGTACCAGCAACATGCAACTGTCGACCATAGCCAAGGCCGTTAAAAAGGAATACTCGTAAAAACGATCCACCAGCTGGCACAGCTTTTTATTTCGTGATGCGCTGTTGTGTGGAGCTATATTTTTATTCTGAGAATAAGTTGCGAAACTATTACGTGTTTAGGTCCATGGCCATCTTTCATCTTACTTCAATGTGTGTTACTTCTACTTTACTCGTAAAAATTTTTAACGAATAAATGTATAATTTTGTATGTCTAAAAATAAATGAGTAATTTATAATGAAACAAGCGGATAAATTAATGCAAAACACTATATGGCTTGCGTGTATGGCACGACCAATCTACAAGATGCCAGAGCGTAAAATATTATTTGAATAACAGAATTTAATTTTGATATTATTCCGTTATTATATCCAAATGAGTTTTAGTATCAATATGATCACTTTAAATTTAAACTAACAAACGATGTTTCAGCCATTTTAAAACGTTTTTTGATACTTATGTGTCTTCATAACAACACTATAGGTGAAATTGTTCAATACAAAAAAGTTATTTTTAGAAGATCTACAATTTTTGTATTAAACATTTTGCCTGAAAATGTGTTGTTCAAAAACAAGATGGTGTAAAATAATTTTTCGGATGTAGTGAAACAATTTTTGTCGATCAAACCTTTAAGACGGCACTTTAGAAAAAAAATTTACTGTGCAAAAAAAATTTTACTTTGATGAGCTCTACAAATTTTGTTATTAACATTTTTTTGTAGAATCAGAAATTATTTCTATAACAGGAAAATAACGGATTTTTCGCTGTTTTTGCATCTATTTTATTTTTTATGGAGCGTTGAAAAAAAAACTTCATGACATATACATAATACATACTCTTACACATGCACTATGTGACCCGGTACGATAAATCACTCTCGCGCCAACTCTCATTAAGTCTCTCTCTCTACTCTCATTAGCTAAATATTTCTCTCCTTCTCTATCATGCACCTACATCTCCATCTCCTTTGCTCCCATTAAGTGTCCTCGGGTCATAGGTCTCTCCCCCTCTCTTAATTGCTTACATCATTCTCTCTCTCTCTTTTCCCGGCTTTTCACATACTTAATTAAGGTATAAGGAATTGATGGGTCCTGACGACTGCAGCGGGTGGGAGAATTAAAAAGGAAAGGGGGGTTTTGCGACTACTTTGGGTGGGCGCGCCGGGTCAGTTCCGAACTATGTGTCTATATACAGAGCGGTCCACAGTTGTCAACTGCGATCTCGAGTATCTGGCATAGTTGGGTATTATATTCGTCCTACTGGTTTCTACATCTTTTCTCATCATCATCACGCACACGTGTATCTGGGAGTCACCTTTTTGGGGTTAATTTCTCTCACGCTTTCCTTTTTTTATCATCATCGTCATCTGCATCATCTTTAAGAAGCTCAGCGTGCTGCGAGTAAAGCACGGCGAAAATCTGCTTCACGGACCGTGCGACGTTTGTCGATTCGTGAGTTTTTCGAGACAGGTGCGGATGCGCACGTATATGTTTTCTACACACAATACACAAGTACACACTCTTCATTGCAGGAAGTTTATCTTAAAATTTATTATTCAACCTCACTCGTTTGTATTTTCATTAATTTTTCTTCTCTTGGGTATTTCTCTTCGGAGTTTTTCCCTTGAGTCACGGAATATATCTTCGTTCGTGGCTCATAATCAGTGCATTTTTAATTTATTTCACCCAGTTCATTCCCATCCTCCGTTCCGATAAATTCAGCAAAATTGTTTTTTTTTTTTTAGGTGGATTTTGACTTGTCATTTATCAATTGAGTAGAGTTTTTGTGCCGCGATCCCTCCTTAATTTTCAAGTAACAAATCAGTTGACTTCGTCAAAATAGACGCAGCCAACAGGGCAGCAGCACTCTTGCTACAATTCATATACGTAGTTTCTTTCTCGATACACCAATGGTATACGAGAAACAAAGCCGCATGATCTGTTATCACTTATTTTTGCGAAAAGTTTTTTTTTACTTTCATTGCCCAAATATAGAGTTTTTGTTCCATAGGTTATTGGCAAAGTGATATAAAATATTGTTGATGGTCTTGATGCCGATCAGGAAAGAAAACAAATAGCTGATCAGGGCCACGAGGACTTTTCTTGCTCGACTTATCCCCGAACTGTTTCTTAAATTGTTCTAAGGCATGATACAACTCGTCCGTTTTCCTACAATTTTCACTATACTTTTTAGATTTAAAAAAATTTTCTATCATCAAATGTATGTATTTATGCATACTATTATTTTCTGTCATTTTATCCACATTCGGATTTTTACCCCTGTTTTGATCCTCAAATTTTTAAATAGGCATTTTATATCAATTAACATTTTTGTGATTGTCTTCTTAACTTTTTAAATACCATAGCGATAAACAAAACATTTAATGACTACGTTTCTTTGCGAATAAATGCTTAATTTACAAAATTCGAATTCATTACTTTTAAACGTTTCTGGGCTGTACTCTCAAGAATATTGCGACTGGCCAACATTTTGTGGTATGGAGTGTCACAACTGTATTCAAAGTGAAACGCAACTACTAGCGCCTAAGAGCCTGTACAAAAACAAATGGAGTGGACAAAGTTAAAACTAAAACCTGTCCTATTTGACTTGTTAAAAAAAAGAGCGCCAATTTAGTGCCATTTTATAATGGAAAAAAGCATCATGCGGCAATAACGCATACTAAAATCTGCCTTACAAGTATTACCTCAAATAGTAAACCACACATTTACAGTGTGTAGTTACTTTTTTTTTTTTTTTTTCATAATACATCGTGGTGTCATGGATAATAATTTGAAGGACAATTTAATAAAGTGATTAACTAGTTACATTAAACTGAACACATGAGAATGGAAAAAATCCTTAAAGGAAAGCTGTGGAGAGAAAAAACTAAGCTGTCACACATTTAACACGTCTACAAGTGTGTACAATCTATGACAGAAATATTTTACTCTCAGCAATCTTTTAATGCTAATCATAGAAAAAAAAATTTGTTTAGTTCTATAGAATAGGTGAAATAGTTTACGAAGCATCGATTTGGTTGTTCTTGAAACTTTTATCAGAAGTGATACAATGTATTACTTACTTCAACACACTTAGATATATTTTACAGAGTATGTATGACCAGTGCTGTTTGTTTTCGCCCCTTAATCCCATATAGTACATATCTTATGGAAGAAAATAACTTAAGTGGCGGTCATTGGTGAATTGACCCTTACAGCCCATAAGATCCAATTTTTATGTTAAAGTGACTAGTAGCGCCAGTCCTCTCCTCCAACCTCATGCACCTAGCGGATATAAAACATACTATATCCTACATCGGTTATGCATATCATTTATTCTGGGGGCATACGTAGACTTGTAGCTGAACTAATCGGCTTATATAAAGAGTTTCATTCTATATTCTCTGCCACGAGACCGAAAGACACTCGTTTCACCTATTAGTAAAAACGAGGTTCCGATAAAGTAACTTTAATAACAATCCACGCTTTTTTTACTTATGAAGAAAACGGCGAATTATTAGTACTTTCATCAAAATGGCTGACGAGATTGTGGAGAGGCAAAATTGAGAAGGCAAAAATTTAGGATGTTTTTTAATGCCCAATCATTCGGACATGTCGGGTCATCAGATTGTATCTTCAAGCAACACATCTACAGAGGAAAGACAGTTAGCCCTTAGAAAGATACCCAGTGAAGATTCTCCCTTCTCATTCGACAATAATGAGGTAAAGCCATGAGCAATTGTGAACAAATATAATTTTTTTGTTCTTACAAATTCATGATAGTGGTGTATTTGTAGAAACTCTATAAGAGGATGATGGATTGTACAAAATTTTCCCTGGCTTCAATCAGCGCCACCGTAAGTATGGAAGTTCTTTGTCTAACTTGTTTTCTAGTTTTACTTTTTAAATATTTAATTTTTTTCGTGTTAAACGCTTAAATTAAGCTTTAAAAAGTATGTGCTGATTTATGTTACGTTCTGCTTCGTCAAAAATTTTAATTAGATCTATGTATGATTGAAAATCTCTACCTGTTAGAAGTCTCATAATCCTATTGACATTAGACCTATGAATAAACTTTGATTTTCACCAATGTAATTGTTCTGTGAACGGTCGAAACCAGTCTTTGGCGCGTAAATTTGGAAATGAGATCAAATAATCAGTAGTTTAAATTTTTAGATTTAATAGAAATCAAAACTGTATATTGTATAGTTGCAAATTACTCAGTTGTTCAAATAAAATCGGAAAATCAAATATTTGTTTTTAACTGTCAGGGAGTTGGTCGAGATACGCGCAGGGGCGAAGCCNGTATATTGTATAGTTGCAAATTACTCAGTTGTTCAAATAAAATCGGAAAATCAAATATTTGTTATTAACTGTCAGGGAGTTGGTCGAGATACGCGCAGGGGCGAAGCCTATAGTACTATTTAACTTACATGTATGCAGCTTATTTTAATGTGAAAAAATATGTTAATTACGACGTCTGTGTAATTTTTAGGTCTGTGATAACTCCATTACAGTTACAGGTCAACTAGAAGAGGATAAAAACGTCTCAACCGAAACTATGACCATCCCACGTAACATTTTAGAAAAGTATGATATGGAAAAAGTTGAGGCATGGCTTAGAGATGACAAAACCTTGTTTATATCTTTTCCTAAGAAACATGGGCCAGTTGGCGATAAATAGACTGTAACCAACATTAAAATGTGTCAAGAAAAAGAATAAATGATGTCACTGCATTACCTCACCAGAGCTATTTAAGATTTTATAGTTTTAATCACATTAATACAAAGATAAAAATTACAATTTAAACGTTTTATAATACAAGTTAATTAATACGCATGTACCGACTCACTAATGCTTAGTACAAATTTTTTTATTTTATACTTAATCGAGATACTTATAGTTTTACAGTCTACTGCAAAAATATCTATAATGCAAGATAGAAGATATACTAGAAAAACGTTTTATGCTTTCAATTCTGTTGTAGTAAATGATTCCACAGGTTTAAAATTATTTAAAGAGGTTAAAACATTGTTAAAAAAAAAATTAAGCAAAAATATGTATATGCAAGACTTTGTATAGTAATTAAATAGTTAATTTGAAACATCGAATTTCCATCCACTTAAGCTGTAAAATTTATTAAGTAAAAGAAAAAGTCAGAATATTCACGAAAAAAATTTAAAGTTCAAAAATTTACATCGGAATTTTCCATTCCATGAAAGTTTCATTTTTCTTTCAGCTAC